GCGTTCTCCTGCGCGTCCGCGTCCCGCGCAGACACCGTGAAGATGTGGCAGCCGGGCGGGTTGTTCTCCTTCACGAACACCGTGTACTCGGGCTGTGGGAACGCCGGCGCGTTGTCGTTCACGTCGGCCACCTCCACAGACACGCTGGCGGTGGTCGACAGAGAAGGCGAGCCCCCGTCCCGCGCTGTCACCACCACCTCATAGTTAGCCACACTCTCGCGGTCCAAGGCGCTGTCCAGCACCAAAGAATAGTAATTCTTGAAGGTGGACACCAGCTTGAAAGGGACATAGGGAGTCAGGGTGCAGGTCACCTGTCCATTGGCACCAGAGTCGCGGTCGGACACTGTGATGAGCGCCATGACGGCGCCCAGTGGAGCGTCCTCTTGGATGGGAAGTGAAAGAGAAGTAATTGAGACTTCTGGTGTGTTATCATTGATGTCCACAAGTTTTACCGAAATTTTACAGTGCCCAGACATTGATGGAGTTCCATTGTCATAAGCAATGACTTGAATCTCATAAGATTTCGTTTCTTCAAAATCTAATTGTCCCTTAGTTCTGATTTCCCCTGAGCTGGGGTCTATTTTGAACTTGGTCTTTATAGTGGAGGGCACATCACTACTAAATGAATACGCAATCTCGCTGTTTGATCCTTCATCTGCATCAGAAGAATTTAGTTTAACCACTAATGCTCCGTTTGCGGTGTTCTCTAACAATTGTACTTTGTAAACTGATTGGTCAAAAGTAGGTTCGTTGTCATTAACATCTAATACCTTAATAAGCAATTGAACAGTGCCCGTGAGCTCAGGTTTGCCCCCATCAGTAGCCACCAGCAACAAATTAACCTCGGCAGTTTCCTCTCTGTCCAGAGATTTCCTCAGGACAAGAGACAAAGACTGGCTTGGTTCATCAGTTGTCTGTATGTCTAGAAAGAAAAACTCACTGGAGCTGAGCTTGTAGGAGAGAAGAGCGTTTACTCCGATATCTGCATCAGATGCTCCCTCTAGAGGAAACCGCGAGTCAAGCAGCCTCGATTCGGGAAACCGGATAGTCTTCACTGCCATTGGAAATATCGGCGGGTTGTCATTAATGTCCTTCACCTCCACATCCACGTGGAAAACTTGCAGTGGCCGGTCCACGATCACCTCCAGATGGATGCTGCACTCCAGGCTCCCCCCGCACAGCTCCTCGCGGTCGATCCGAGAATTCACAAACAAAATGCCATTCTGCAGATTTACCTCCAGAAGGTCCCCGCGGCCTTTGGACGCCACCCGGAACAGGCGCGGCACCAACTCCGCCAGCTCCAGCCCCAGGTCCTGCGCGATGCGGCCCACGAAGGTGCCGTGTTTGGCCTCCTCGGAGACGGAGTAGTGGACCTGGCCGCTCCCCACCTCCCAAGCTGCAAGGAACAGAAGCGAGAGCAGTAGACGCCCGACCTTCCGGCCCCTTCTCATAGAAGACACCATTACCAATTCTCAGTGAGTTGATCAAATTAGAAAATCATGTTTTGCAAAATTTTAAATATTGTCCTCTAGTCTCTGCTGGAGTCCTGCTGCTTCTCTTATTGTTCCGCTTCTCTGGAGTGACAATGGGGATCTGGGTATTTTTCTTCCTAGAGAATACTCCGTGGTGGACAGCGACATCATGTGGACAAAATGTAGGCTCTACTGTTTATCCTCTACATTTAAAACTGGACAATTGTCTGGTCTAGGTTTACTGATAACTTTCATTTTGGAAAAACACCTATTTTAAACTCTGAAATATATCCTTTTCCCCTTTTTGGGGGGTTAAAAATCACATAAAATTTACCATCTCAATTATTTTTAAGTATATAGTTTAGTAGTGTTAAGTATATTCACATTGTTGTGAAACAGATCTTCAGAACTTTTCATCTTGCAAATCTGAAACTCTGTACCCATTGGACAACAATTCCCCTTTCCCACCACCACAGCACACCCCCGAACCACCATTCTACTTTCTGTTTCTGTGAATTTGACTACTTTAGATGCCTCATATAAGTGGAATCATACAGTATTTGTCTGTGATTGGCTTATTTCACTTAGCATAATGTCCTCCAAGTTCAACCATGTTGTAGCATGTGACTGGATCTACCCCCTTTTTAAAGCTGAATAATATTCCAATGTATGTATAGACCACATTTTGTTTATCCATTCACCCATCTGCCCACGGACATTTGGGTTCCTTCCACCTCTTGGCTACTGTGAATAGTGCTGCTGTGAACACAGGTAAGAAAATATTTCTCTGAGACCTTGCTTTCAATTCTTTTGGATATATTACCTCTTTTTCTTTTTTCTTTTTTTACCATTTCTTCAAATGAAGCACATAGGAATCAAAGGGTATTTTAGTCAATTGAAAATATATTTATATATTCCATTGTTGGTTTGTAGTGATTTAATTTTGTTTTCTGAACTGTTTGCAGATGTTTGGAAATTAGTAATTTGTTTGTTCCTCATTTGGATAATGTATTCTTAATTTAGGAATATTTCCTTTTCTACTACATTTGGATTTTTATGCAAGAACAGTATAATTGATGTCTTTTTTCATGTTAATTATTTGAGAATATCTTGTTTTATTAATTCTTAGCTGGCCCCTTCACACACAAACAATATGAAAATAGAATAAAGATACCATAAGAATGAAATAAAATGAACTGAAGAGTGGCTCAGTGTTCAAAATGCATAATAGTCATTTCCAGTTACTCTAATGAGGTCACAAATTTTGTTTCCAGCAAAGAGGAAAACAAAATTAATTGCAAGATTTACAGTGTCCATAAAAGAAAAGCAAAATCTTTGCTAAAGAAAAACTAGCTTTTCCTGGTACTGAAAACCAATTACTAATTTCTCCCTTGAGTTCAACATCTTCAGATACTTGTTCACACCATCTATGGAAGTGTGTATTTATATTAATCATACTCTAACACTGAACCCCAAGTAAACTGACTTAAGCAAAAAAGCAGAGCATTATTTATTGTCTCATACATGGAAATGGATGATTACTTACTGGTTTCAGGCAGAGCTGGATATACACGCTTCAATAATGTCATAAGGAAAATAGCTCCACATTTGTGATTTTGTTTTTCCTTTGCTGACCTTCCTCTCAGATAGGTTTTTCCCATGTGATGGCAAAATGGCCAAGTAGCTTTTAGGCTACATTTAGTGACTCTGAACAGAAAAAAAGTGCCCTTTTCCTAATAGCCCCAGCAAAAATCTCAGAATATCTCCTCCTTTGACCCAGTTTAGATTCCTTCAGTCAGTAGTTGTGATGGTTCTCACATTGGCCAGACATGGGTCGCTTGTTCATTCCTGAAGCCAGGAGATAAAATCAGCCATGCCTAAATTATATGAACTGAAAATGAGGAGGTTGGTTCTTATGAAGACTAGTGCAAGGCCTCATGTACCCACATTATCCTGAAGCTTAAACCAATTGCACATAGCTACAGACTGGTCATTACATCAATACGTAGTTGCAATGCAACTGCATGTTTGTAATACCCAGTAATTTTTACATAATCAGTGGCCAACACATCGGCTACTGTTGACATATTTAAAACTTATGCCTAGAATCCAGATATTAGCTCTAGGAAACATGGCTTGCTTGAGGCAATTTTTGCAATCTTATAAGAGAATTTTGCTGGATTTTCAGAATGACATGTCCGGGGATGTGAGGCGTATTCTGCTGTTATTCAGGGTTTCTGAGGACCTAGAATATCTCTCTCCTTCCCTCAGAGAGATAGAGTGCCATTGCCAGAAATCCAGGCACATTTCCCTCAATGGAGAAAGGAGACTGAGAAGCCATGCTCAACAAATACCTCTCAGCTTGACATCTCTTGGTGTCTATAGTGGGTTGAATAGTAGCCCCCAAAAGATATATCCACTCAGATCCTCAGAATGTGACTTTCGTTGGAATAAAGGTCCTTACAGATATAATTAAAGTAACCCTCACCCTAACATCATCCTAGTTTAGTGTGGGCCATAAATCCAATGACAAGTGTCCTTATAAGGGACAGAAAAAGAGAAGATACACAGAGACACAAGAAAGAAGGAAATGTGAAGACCAAGGCAGAAATTGGAGTTCTGCTGCCACAAGCCATGGAAAGCCAGGAGCCACCAGAAACTGGAAGAGCCAAGAAAGAATTCTCCCCTAGAGTCTTCAGAGGGAACGTGGCCCTCCCAACACCCTGATATTGGACTTCTGGCCTCTAGAACTGGGAGAGAATAAATTTCTACTGTTTTAAGCCACCAAGTTTTGGTAGTTTGTTGCAGGAGCCCTACAAAACTAGTATAGTATCCATTGCTATAATTACACCCTTTGCACTTATCAGAGCAAACTTCAATTCCCTAAGTTTTATCTGTCTAAGCATTCGTTCTTGCAAAATCTTCATCCCAGTCTTTTACAAAACTAAGAAGCCCCAGAAGGAAAAAAAAAACAGGAAGGGAGAATGGAGGCTAGGCAGGAAAAAAAAGAAGAGATGCCTAAACATTTTAAATTCAGTTTATTATCTTTCTCCTCCTACCTTTTATATATAAGAAAAAGAAATCACAGCACAATAATTTTTTCCATGGAATCCAAGTTATCTAATCTGCTTAATGGTCAGATGCCTTAGTAAAAGATCAATAATAATGTTCTCCTATCAGTTGTATTACTACCTGTTGTAGTGCTCTCCTCTTAAAATTTATTCTGTTCACTTTAGCTTAATGGTAGCAGAACTCCAATGAATATGTTGCTATATATTGACTATTCCAGCTTTCCCTCTAAAATAAACACAATTTTATTGCTGTATCCACCAAAATCCTCTGTGGTTATGGGAGACTGCCTTGGACAGCTTTCCTCCACATGTTGGCTCAGCATCCCAGACCGCTTTGATCTTATGGCATCTTAGCATCAACCTGTGCTTCCATAATTGCTGCAACAGGAAGAGACAGCAGAAGAGTCTTGCACTGGCAATTACATACTTCTGCTTGGAAGTAACACACATCATTCATATTTCATTTGTCAAAGAAAAAAATCACACCTCAAGGTAACAGGGCTGTGAAGTCCTCCAGTGTTCCCAGAAGGAGGAGAACAGAAATATTGACAGTGGCTACTAAAATAAACAACTGTTTCTCATTCTGACCTATTTATATTCTCGACTGACCACAAGTCTCAAAAGTGTCAAGTGATATCTTACTTTTCTAATCACTTATTGTTATACAGAAAATAGAATTACAATTCTAATCTTAGGAAGTTTTCTGAAAGAGAAAGAACATAACAAGAAATAGTCTTCGCAAGTGTTCTCCTTTGTATTTTAGGTGATGTAAAAATAATATTTCCCTACAAATGAAATTACATTGGTGTCATCACACCAAGGTAACTTGAAAATAAAACTACAGTTCTTAAAATCATAGTCATGAAACCAAAACCAATTATTGAATAATCGAAAGGTAATAATATATGTTTTACCAAGATTTTACTGAAAGCAATGATAGTTTTTGTTTCCATTGGAGTGTTTGAAAATTGGAGCCTCCATAGAAAAATGAGAATAACACTATTATTCTCAGTATGTACAGCATGATGATCTTGGCCTAGTTTTTTCAGATAGACAACAAAGGTGTGAAGCTGCTAACTTTAATGGATAATTAATATTAACCAAAATTAATCCAATTGCATAACAATGATTATAATCTGGTAATAAGATTTCAGCATATATAACTTCACCTTTTGAGGATATGACCACTTTTAAGTCAACAAATTTTCTAAATGAATGACTAATTTGAATTGTAACTATACCATGCGATAAGTACTAAAGAATAAATTTTGCCATACATCTATATTATTCTATGCTTTTCTTAGTACAAAAATAGTCAATGAATAACACATTAACTATAGGAAAGAACAGGTGGAAAAGGAGGAAAATAAAGCAACTGGTTCAACTTTATAAAAAAGAAGAGAAGAAGTAATCTAATACATTACCTGGAAGAAATCTTATAAAGAAAGCAACAAAACTATTGAAAGTTGTCTTAACTACACAAGGATTCTGAATGGGACAAGAATATTAACTACTAATGGGAAATCCATTCATATTTATATTAAAGTAAATACTAAGTAACAATACCACTCCATGATCATCTTTTCCTCCATTCCAGGAGTACCTTTCCATTTAAAAAAAAATCATTTTTAAAACTATGTAGTCTTAAATCCACTTCTTTTGGTTTAGTGGTCATTAACTAATATTTGAGATTCGCCTCCAAGTTAATACCTTCAAATAACCCAGAAAACTTTTAACCTTGACAACAATAATCATAATACAGAAAGAATTGTTTGATTGTTCTTTTTTTTTTTTTTAAAGATTTTATTTATTTTATTTTTTCCCCCCAAAGCCCCAGTAGATAGTTGTATGTCATAGCAGCACATCCTTCTAGTTGCTGTATGTGGGACTCGGCCTCAGGATGGACGGAGAAGTGGTGCCTCGATGCGCACCCGGGATCCGAACCTGGGCCACCAGCATTGCAGCGCGTGCACTTAACCACCAAGCCACAGGGCCGGCCTGTTTGTTCTTAGATCCATAAAGCATCAATCTAAAATTTTGTTTTTGACAGTGATGTAGTTGTGTGAAGGCATGCCTGAATGTCTTCAGGTCAAATTTAAAAGGCTATTGGGTATTCATCAAATGATGCTCAGTTCCATTAATAATCCTACTGTTAACCTCTCAGTGAAGTACTGTTAGATAATTGCTTTTCCAACTTGTATAAATTCTTGAAGAAATGAGTTGTGCCATTCTAGCTTCAAATGCTAGCCTCTAACTCAAGTTTTTCTGGCTTGATAGAAGAAAATATATGTTTACCCCTCCATACCATTTATGATTTTCAGTTTGCCCTCGAAACATAGTTTCCCCTCTCCCTCTCAATTGTTTGATCATTTTAATTCCTCTGTCTAGGGCTTTTCCATCTACTTGATTATATTTTTCTTTAGCTGAGGCAATGAGAATCATACACAGTTTTCTGAGTACTATTCACATAAAGAGGGAAAGCTTTCATCCGCTTTGTTTCCAGAAAACTTGCTAAAAACAGTCAGCATTTTATTGCTTCTTTTTAAAAAGTCACAAATAGAATGAGATCCTCGTTGTAGACACCTTGGTTAGACACAGAAAACTGAAAGAGCAATATTACACAAAATCCAAGTCTTTTCATAACTCAACTGTTATTTTCAATAGGCTAGAATGTGCTCCCCTTGAAGCCAAGGACCTTGGCTATCTTGTTTCACTGTTGCTGTACCCCTAGGTTCTACAGCAGAGCTTAGTATATAGTTGGCTTTCCATATGTGTTCATGGAATAGATCCATAAGTAAATATTGAGTGTCTTTAGAGGAAATTTTAAGCCTAGACATTAATATCATTAGCAAATGTAGCTATGGGGACACAGTAATGTGAAATGGGGAAGAGAAATAATTTTGTGACTCTCTAGTCTATCTTTCCCTATTTCATAATCCTGCAAAGTTTATCTCATATTTAAAGGAACTGAGAAATTTTCTTGGCAACCTGACTCTAAAATTATTTTTTTGCTGATTTTTGCCTAGAGACTGGATATGACAATTAATATTTGAAAAGTTACAGAGACATGCTTACAGCCTATTTCTTACAATGTTCTAAGCAACAGCTCTGTATCAACTCAAATCTCTGGAAACTTAACTAACAAATTATATTAATTTCTTATAGAATGTTTTCACAAGAGGATTTTCATGAGACTTCTGTATGTTTATTTGAATGTTTGCAAACAAAAATATATCTATTTAATACTCGTGTAATTTCTGAATTAAACACAGGAAATAAAATTTAACATTATTATCTTGACTGAATGACTAGCAAATACAATAATATCCATACCAAATATGTTTCAGCTGGTTTCATGAAACTGCTATCAAACACATCGTTTAGTAAATTGCTAAACCCTTACATAATGATCAGTAACCAACTCTTCCTTGAATTTACAACAAGAAGAAAGTCTTTTTTCTCTCTTGAAGAATTGGTATAGAAAATTTCCTTTTATTGTTATTTTTCATATTTCTGTATTCACTTCCAGGAAGGTGAGTATTAGGATTTGCACTCAGCCGATGCTTGAGTTTTGGATAAATTACTTCCATCCCTCTCTTGATCTTTTACTTTGGCTTTTAAACAGATTTTTAAAACTTTGCTCTTGCAAATTTCTTCCATTGTAAGCTACCTTAAATATTTTATCAAAGGCAATAAAGTGGATTAGGACAAGCAAGTTTAGGATATCCTTGAGAAATTTGGAGAAAACTTAGTAAAATACTGAACCTAGTTTTTCTGAGCCTCAGCACCTCCATCCATAAAGTGAGACTAAAGTATCCACTTCACAAAGTTATTGGAAAAGTTGAGAAAAATAAAGGTTTTAGAACACGGGTGAGTAAATGGAAGGTGCTCAGTAATTATTCCTAAGTTGATCCTCTAAATAACAAATTCGTCCCACATTAAGCCTTCTAGACCCAGAAGAACTCAGATCGTTGGCATCAGGAAATTGTCCATAATGACAATGAAGCAATGGTTGTATGTTTTAACATGGAAAATAAAATATCGTCCAATAAATATATTTTAAATTACATTTGCTTAAGATGATTTGTATTGCCCATTTGGAAACTTAAAACCTCAAGGGAAGGCTGATGGTTTCTGTAACTTTGCCTGTAATTATTTGCCCAGGGCTTGACATTTCACTATGAAAGATAAGGTCATAAATAAACCTGCAATGTCACGGTATTTGACTATGTTGAGATCCTGTGTTACATATAATCAAGACTACTTAGTATTTCAGTATTTCTTAAAGTATCCTACTATTTCAATCAAGGAATATAACAATTTGTCCCTACATTTGATTTTGTTTGTTTCCAAGTTCCATTCAAGACGCAGGTGCAAGTAATAAATAAATATCTACATTAAATGGTAAGATTTGTTTCAATTTTAGCAAGCATTTTGAATACCTGTTTAAAACTGACATTTGAAAGGATGGTTAGATAAGTTAAATTTAAAAAAATTAAAGCTAAAGCTTGAAATTTGGACTTACATTACCGGAAAGGTCCGAATTTGTTTCTGGATGTTCATTTTCTTCCGACGTGTTCAGACCGGGAGGAAGGCTGGGACTGAAGGCCATGAGGTCGGTCTTGGGCGGCCCCTCCCCAGAGCACACCCTCTGCCTCCTCTGCTGTGAATACGACCAGCTCTCCACTGCGCTGGAACACACCAGCGTGGGCTTCCCCGGCCCGCACGCGCCCTCGGTGGGCGGCGCCGAGCACCGCAGCGCCGTGTACAGCAGCAGCGTGAGCACCAACAGGCTGGACACAGCGCAGATGGCGACGATCAGGTACACGTTGACATCCACCAGCGCCGTCTCTGCGCTCGCGGCGCCTCCGGGCGACCGCGACGAGGTCTTCAGCGCCTGGCCGCTCTCCACCAGCGACAGCAGCACAGTGGCCGTGGCCGTCAGCGCGGGCTCGCCGTGGTCCTTCACCAGCACCAGCAGGCGCTGGCGCGGCAAGTCCGCCTCATCCAAGGCGCGAGTCGTGCTGATCTCGCCCGTGTACAGCCCCACGCGGAACGGGCTGCGCACGCCACCCGCCGCCGGCTGCAGCTCATAAGACAGCCACGCGTTGTAGCCCGAGTCCGCGTCCACCGCGCGCACCTTCGCCACCA